AATTGTGTATTATGGTAATTGAATATTTGTATGAGAAGAGAATACCACGTCGCACATAAATTTTCTTTGACACGGTTTGTAATACACATAGTATAGAAGTATAGATTTTTATAGTTTTTGCGCTTATGGAATGAGGAATAGTTATGTTTTAACACATACCTTAAAAATCATGAAAAATCAAATACATCGTACTGACAAGCAATATAGAAAGAAGGATTACATCCTACCGATGCATGCAAATGGCTCAACAATTAGTTTTTAGATGGAGCTGCCCCACCTCTTACAAAATACAAAAACAAGTATTCACAATAATCTATGAGAAATTTGGGCATTAAAAAAACATGCATGCATATTTGCTAATTGCATAACCTCCCACGTGAGCAGCGAGGCCACTAGTACTCTCACCGGGCATGCCTACAAAAAGGCCACCCTACCTTGAGCTTAAATTTTTCGGCTATTTCACCAAATGTCACTGATTAATTGCGAAATTCACCAAATGTCATCCGACTTTTTAAAATTCACCAAATGCCACCGAGTTTTAACAAAATTCACCGAGTGCCATTAATGACTGACAGCCGTTAATTGACCGTTAGTAGACCCCACCACTTGCCACGTGTCACTTTTTAATTGGTCCGTTTTTTTAAAAAAAAAAAAGTTAAACAAAAAAAATTACAAAAATTCCAAACTAAAAAAAAAAAAAAAAAAAAGGAACTCATCATAGGTGGCCAGCCACCACCCCAGCAGCCACCAGCCATCCCTTGCCGCCGAAGCCAGCACCGGAAGGCGCGCCGGTGGCCGGCCAACCCCCACGCCTTCCCCCGTCGCGCCACCCACCCTAGCCCAAACCCCTAACCCGCGAAACCCCACCCCCCTTCCTCTCCCTCTCCGTTAGTTCACCAATTAATTTCCCCTGCTCCACCAATTAGCCACCTGCAAACAGCAATCCGACCATCGATTGATATAATTTCCACCACCAATCGCAGTAGCAACCTCAATTTTGTGTTCAGTTCATTTTCCAGCGAGAAACCATCATGAATTACCATTTTCTTTCAATTTCGCCCAAAATTTGAAGACCCAGAAAAAATTGAACCCATTCCTCCATTTTTCAAACCAACCCAGATAAATTTGTTCGAGCGCCGTCCTTCAGGCCGCTTCCAACACCGCATTTTTGAAGCTCCACAATCAGCCACCACCACTGCCGTCAATCTGGGTGAATAGTAAGCAGTCAAGCAACCAACTATGTTCAGTTTTTAATCGGGCTTCATTCGGATTTCTATCGGACCGCATTTGGGTTTGTTCTTTGTAGAACAGAGATTGCTTCATTCGCGACGAGAAAGAGGAGGGGAGGGGGAGGGGTTGCTTCGGTGACCGCCGGCGTGCCTGCCAGTGAGGGTGTAGATCGCCGGCGGCACGGTTTCGGAGTTCGGCGGTAGGGAGAAGGTGGTGGAAGGGGTGGTGGTTTCAAGGTTTTCTGTTTTTTTTTTTAATTTTTTTTAATTTTTAATTTTTTTGGTTCTTTTTTAAAAAATATATACATATATATTAAAACGGACCAATCATAAGGTGACACGTGGCAAGTGGTGGGGTCAACTAACGGTCAACTAACGGACAGTAACGGTCAACTAACAGAAATGGCATTTGGTGATAATATACTAAATCTCAGTGGCATTTGGTGAATTTTAAAAAGTACGTCGGATGGCATTAGGTAAATTTCGCAATTGCTCAGTGGCATTTGGTGAAATAGCCGTTTCACAAATAATTTCCTTCTAATCAAAAGAAAAAAAAAAAAAAAAAAAAAAAAAAGTCGTTCATTATCTTAAAATAGTTGCAGCAGACTAAAGGTCGCACACACAAATATGTACGTAAACTTCTTATTTTATTATTATTGGGTGCAATTCTTTGATCTTAACGAATCTATGCCATACTAATGTGATTTATTCTTTAAAATTATTTAAGCAAAATTGTCCTTGAAGTTCAAATTATGAGAAGTAAATTCCATGATTAAATCTATGGGAATTTCTTAAAACTAAGAATTACTTTTTATAAGGATGAGATGGTGATGGTGTGATGAGAGGTGAGGATAAGTGAGTTAGGTATTGTTACCCTCGTCTTGACAAGTTGGCTGTAGTAGTTATACTAGAGGAGAGTGGGTATGTAAGTGCCTAAGTGCGCAACTATTACCTTTATTATGAGGGTAATGATTTCTATAAATTACATCTCTCTCTTTTTCTCATGCTCAACTTCCTTATTTCACCTGTAAACATCTTATTTAATTGTATGATATCTCTGCGACTCTAATCACTTATATTTTTTTCTATTTGACTTTTTATTGAACAATATTCTCAATCCAAGCATGGTCTAAGTGGGGTTCGTTGGAATTAATAAATTAATACTTTCTCTATTTTTTATTTTTTTTTATAATTGTAATTCTCTTTTCACGCTTTACGATGCATTATTTCAATCGCTAATATCTTTAATTACCAATATGCAAAAGTTATACACATTTGATTATAAAATGGTACAAATAGAGATAAATCTAACAAGGTTCCACATAACTATATTTTTGTTTAGCAATAAATCATCAAAACTAGTCAAAGTTAAGCACATGAATAATGTAAAAATCAAACTGTTGCAAGTATAAAAAAACGGAGGAAGTAATATTAAAGAGATAGTGGGTAATAGTTTAAAAAAATAATAATTTATTAAAATAACATATGGAGTAATAATGTGTAAGAGGAGATTATATGAGAAGAGAGAAATAATAAAAAAATAAAAAATAAAAAAAATATGAGAAGGTTTTCAAAAAAAGGAATTGTCGGACATTAAAAAAAAAGAAAAAAAAAAGGAAAGCAATGCACTTAAAAAACGGTGGGAACTGACAACCATAATTTTTAAAATGAACGGTTAAGATTTAATGATTTTTGAATTATTTTTAGATTTAATGTTCGGGTGTATATATTTTATTCACCTGATTTATACTTATTTGAACTTACTTATATAAACTTATTTGAAATAACTTGAACTTATCGGAACTTATTAGACTTCATTATATCTAATTTTAATTAGTTGTAATTTGAACTTGGATAACCCTTATCTGAATTTATTGAAATTATCTAAACTTATGAAACTTGAAATAAGTAAAATTAGGGTAAGAAAAAATTTAATTTATTTTTCTTTTTTTTAATCTATTAATAATTAAAAATAAATTTCATAGATTAATTTGAAAAAAAAATTAAAATTAGAATAATTATTTTTCAATAATTTAAAATGAATTCCTAAAATAAGAAAAATTAAATTTGATTAATTTTTTTTATTTATAAATAATTAAAAAAATCATTAAATCACAACCATCCAATTTTTAAAAATTATGGTAGTCATTTTCAAATGTCAACTGTAGATAGAATTTTCAATTCAATATAACAATATATTCGGAGTAATAATTACGATTTCCTATAAAAATATATAGAGAGAGAGAGGAATATCACAAATAACTTTTGCTCATGAATGAGTGAGCAGAGATTTAGCAAAAGGAAATATTAAAATGGAAGGGGTCGGGTAAATGTTAATCCATGATATGTAGAAGTTTAGAATTGGTTTATATACGGATGTTTCTACATTAGTCATCCATAAAATGACTAGCTATCACTATACTCAAAGAATGTAGGAATTCAAATTAAAATTTCATAGTAGATACAAAAATTAGTGTAGCTATCGTAAAACTGCTGAATTTCTCTCCTCATGTTTTGATGAGTAATTCATAATTGGTTCGTTGATTTGAATTGTGAATACGTGATACAGTCGCTAAGTTAAGGAGATCATGATGAAGCTGCTGAGGGTTATAGCCATATGTGCTTGCTGGTTAGCCGTACTGGTTCAACCACAACACTGCAAGGGCTTCACCAATGAGCTCTCCATTGAAAAGGGTTCCAACCTGGATAATGATCAAAAGGTGCACATCACTGGATTGAATGGCCTGTGTGCTTCTGTGAAGAACGGCGATTATCATAATGGAAACGCTATCGTTTTAAGTGAATGCAAAGACGGGGAAGAAAACCAACTTTGGATCATTGGAAAGGATCAAACAATTCGATCCAAAGGAAAGTGCTTAACAACTTATGGATATGCTCCAGGAAATCATGTAATGATATTTGATTGTACAACTGCTGTTCCTGATGCCACTAAATGGGAATTTCATAGCCATCCTGGAAGGATTATGAGCTCTTCTTAACCGCAAGAAAAAATATAAAACATTACGCCATTTTGATAAACAACCCTTGTTTCTGTTGAGAAATTGAAGCGCTGTCAAAAAACCTAACCAAGCTTTACAAATGAATATAAATAGCTACGTTACCTAGGGGAATATTTTGCAATAATTTAATAACTTTAGAGAATGTATCATAAATAAGCAAGTTATTTGGTCGGAATTATATGCTTACTTATAATATAGATAGTTGGGGTAGAGTGTACAAATGGGTTCCTTCCCTCAAAGTATCACTACCTTGGCGAAATTAGACTTAACTTAATACGAAGTATTAATAATAGCTCTCTTTTCTTCAAAAAATAAATAAAAAAATAGTTGGGTAGGGTGTATTTATTTGCTTAGCATTATTCTTATCGATGGAGCATATTATCTTTTTCCAGATCTGAAGCTAACAATAACAAGATGGTGAAAAGGCCAATTGATGCCTTCACCTTTGGAAATTCAAAAGCTTTATCATAACAAATGGACGAAAATGAAAGATTTCTCGTACAATTTTCACCATTTCCATAAGCAAAGGAGTTTTTGTGGTAGGACAACTTTGTCATGTGAAACAGTGGGTGCAGATGAGATCCATCATCATCATCCATGTGGTGATGCTAATCGTCAGCCCGCTAACATCGTATGAAATTACCCAAATGCCCTAACTATATGAAACCATAATTTTGTTTAAGCAGTGATTCCATACCATCAGCTAGCTCTACCCGAGATTAGTTGTCACATTCAAATTACACAAATAAGGTGACAAAATTGCAAGTTAGAAAGACGATATAAAAAAAATTCGAGCAAATTAGTTCCCATACAACATATACTGAAGCCTTACAATGATGATTGAATCCTAAGGTAAAGATGTCAGTAATCAAAGTCTAAGGCCAGTCTCAAAATGTAACAAATGCCCCAATGAAAAATTTACAACATTCTCAAAAATGGGCCAGTTACACAGACTGATTAGGTCAAAATTTCTGGTTCCCAAAACCTCAGAAATAGGTGCTTCCCCAAGCACTCTAGAAATTAAAATTAAAAAAGAAAAAAAGAATTTAAACAAGGCCACTTCATATTTCCTACCTGAATTGAAGTGGCTTTTTTAGACTAAATATTACTCCTCTACTAACAATAGCAAGGTCTTCACCAGTGCTTTCAAAAAGGGTAGTTTTAATATGCAGAGCCACATGAAAAAAAATTTACAGCATTCTCCTACAAACACCGGGCTCCAAGTCACTTCCTTAGTCCTCATTCTTCCTCTTCGCTGCTAGCCAGCTGTTGCCTACCCGGCTTTGACCGAAAACTGGTGCCCATCGGAAATGGTTCCTACAAAAAGGAAATAAACAAGTCAGCGCCAGTTTTACGGGCTACCTGATCACAACAAACATGTTGGCTAGTGAATTGTTAAAATATGAGTGGAAGGTTGTAATAAAGACGCAACATGGATCACACCATTGGCGATTTGTTGCGGAGTTTAAATTTTTCCGCCAGCATTAACACAAGAGTTTTTTTTCCATAAAAGTGCCTAGCTATGCATCATTGTTGAAACTTGGATGTGAATTATAGTTAACATTCAATACTCTATGCAAAATAATTGAAAGAGCCAAAGTGTCAACAAGAATAAATGACCTTCCAAACAGAACCATTTATGAGTAACGTATGGGCTCAACGCTTACTAAGTTGCATAAAGAAATTTTCACACATCATCAAATTTCACTTATCTTCTATATTAGGTAAGCTATATGAATACTATTACCCAGATTAACCCAATGCAAAAAAGGCAATTTTACCAACTCTTGGTTCTTAGTTCTTACATTCAGAACTACCTAAATCTTGACCCATCTACATTGCTTCCCCAACCACCCAACCCACCCATGAACTATAGGTCCCACATCTCAATCCAATCATTATTTTCTGAAACATGTCACTTGTCTTAAAGAGATTTCATGTAATCTTTCATCATGCTATGGAAATATCATTATCTCAACCAAAATCCTTCAAATGTATGTTATTCGAATAATCGGACTCGTGAATACAAAAGACAACTATGTATCGTGTGGAAGTATGGAATGCGGAGTTATTTTTTTGACTCATAAGAGGCTGAGCAACACTGTGCCTAGTATATGGGCTAATCTTAAGATGTCGCAACTTACAAGGGCAATTACTAGAGGAAAGGTAGTACGAAAAAAGGCATTACATAAAGGCAACAGGCAAGTGGAAAGGAAGTACAAATAAATCCCAAAAACTTTACTGGGGACAGAAAAGAATATTTGTCGAACCTGATCTCCAGCATTTGGACCTTCTGTGTGAAACAGAATGGGGCGACACCGTTTATCCTCGTTCATCAAGCTTGAATTCTGGAAATGTGCAATAAGGGCTCCTTTTCCTTGAATGCGAGCATAAGCCAGAGATGCAACCTTTTCACTGTTGAACTTCTCCCACTTTCTACCTTCAAAGGTCTGCAGAAGATAATTTGCCATTTAATTTTCTAAAACGACAGATTTTATATAATTAAACACAAATTTCCATAAATCAAACCTGATGAAAGCCAACAATCTGGATAGGATCAATCATGTTGATAAATGCGTAGCCCATATTGCATTTATTCTGCCAGTTAAGCAAAGTGAATATTAGAAAGAGAAATATTTAATTTTTCCTAGTTCCAAAATAGTGTTGAGTTCCATACCTTAAAATCAATTGGTAGATAAATAAAATCATATTTTCCTCGATGCTGCTCATCAATTGTAGCCAAAAGCATTTTGGATGTATACCTAGAGTCAACAAGGCATTGCATTAGAAGAGGAAATCAATGAAAACCATAGGGAGTTCAAGTTGACTCAAGTTAACAACTTCTCAAAACAACCACATGGATTAAGCTTGAGTGATTTAGTAAACTTAGTAACAAATTAACAATGTACGCTAGATGATGCCATAAAAGTAAAATCACCCTTTCAATACTAGAATTTAAATAAAAGCTTCTGGAATGCAAAACTACGTACTTGTTAGGAATATTCTTTATCATCAGTGTGGTTCGATTGTCATCACCCCGCATGATACGATCAATGTTAAGCTCATAATGCTTCCTGTCAGCATGACTCAAGTTAGTTTCATTTCTGCTTCTTCTAACGCGTTCACTGGGAAAACCAAACGATGTTGGCAGAGAATTCATTGTGTTTCTCTCATGAAACAAGTGACTCATCTGCTGAGGAGATTGTATCCCAGCATTTTTTGACATGTCAGTTCCATGAACATGAGAAAAGCTAATAGGAGAAGATATTTCTCTTGCAGGTGATGCAGAAAATCCAGGAATACCGACACTCCTAATGGCACCCATCTGATAACCAGAGGTTTCATGAGACTCTCCAGCATAAATTTGCTGTCGGTCCCAGATAGAAGCCTTCATTACTGGTGCCACAGGAGCTGAGCCCACCTGAAGATGATGCACTGGTGAAACCATATTCATCATCAGGTGTGGAGCCCCTGGTGATCCGGAAAGCCTTCCAAGGTGATGTGCATGGTTATTATTCAAAAAGGAAGAGGAGTTCGGCATAAGCAAAGATCTAAGATGATGTTGCTGATACGAGTTAGACTTGCTTGCCATAGACTGTGCATGAACTCCACTCGGGGAAAAGCCATAAACTGAGGAAAAAAAAATTGTAAGCACAAGTGCATTGTAACTTCCAAAAAGAAAAATTCCCAGGGGAAAAAAAAAGAAAAAGAAAAAGAAAAAGAAAAGAAAAGAAAAAAGAATCCTTCATTTTCTGTTGTCTCCCAGAAAAAGACAATAACATGATTCAATAAAATAAACGGATGAAGGAACAAAGCTAAACAAAGATGGTAAGAGAAACACAAACTCCTCTAAATTGTTAGATTTTATAGAACAAATCAGGATCACTGGTAATATAGGAGGTAATCAGATTATGAGTTGCCTAAATAAAAACAATTAGCCGTCACCTATGGTACATGTTTCTCAACACAAACAAGCATTTCCAGTTTATCCATTTCCAAGCTCTTCCAACTGCTAATATTCGGTTAATGTGTAAAATGTATACTACAGCCTTATATTTGCAAGTATTGTATCATATAACATGGGCCAAATGTAACTTTGCATTCTATGAAAGCCTTAAGTTATATTAAAGGAAACATTTAAAGGTATTCCTGATCGACATTCAATGAGGTTTAAAATTGCCAGTCAGAAGTAGATAACTTCCACAAACATACACAAACAAGGTAATGGAATATAAAACAATAATGAAACTCATAGCTTACCACTTTCACCGAGTTCCCTAGCATGCCCATTTAGCCCCAAATGATGAGATTCCAAGTTGACTTTTTCAGAAACCCTGGAACGAAAGTCATCAGCAAAGCCATTCACATTGTCCAATGAGTTCTGCGACATCATATTAACAACATTGTGCATTGGCACTTGAGGAGAATGAGGATGGAAATTTGGGATGCCTCTGTTATCAAGCTGCACTTGAGGAAAAGATTGGCTGCCCTCACTAAGACCAAATTCATTGCCAACAGATGGCATCCTAACTGGAGAAGGATACCCGTTGAAAATGCGAGAATTCTCGTGAGGTGATGAATCACCTACCAGAGTACCAGAGGACAGTCTCGCGGTGGAATGGATCCTTGCAGCATGATCCATTGCATGTACAGAACGCTGCTGGTTCTGGTGAATGCCCCAAGGATAACCCACATTTCTCCGGCCTGCCTGAAGATTCTCTTCTGCTTCTAACTCTATGCCACCACTATAAGTAAACACGTCAAAATCTTCCAAATCATCATTGGCATTAGCATTACCCAGATGTCCCATCTCATCAACCATCCCAGAAAACAGCTCTTCTTCATCAGGAAGAATATTATTGATTGCCTGCCCTTCACCATCTTCTAGAGATTTGAAAGGCTCCACCTCGTCAATTTGGGGAGCAACAGTAGAAGATTGTCGAGATACATATTTATTGGATGACAGTCTAACTGGAAAAGACAAAACTACTATAAGTATAGCAAGTCATAAGACAACTTCAAAGATATTAGGAAAATTTAAAAAACAGCAGAACTTACGCTTATGATTAACCAGCTCGGAGAGTGAACTGGAGAAAAGACTGCTTTCATTTTGAACCCCAACGACGCCAACAAGATGTCGGTCCCCTTTGCAGTATGTCGAATCAAAATACACATCAGGTCGCGTCATTTTATTCTGGTTCATAGATTTCGATAGAGCTCTATGCACACCAATATTTCCGTCTTCTCCAACTACGTCGATCTTATGTTCTCTGGGAACAGGAGATTGGGACATTGCCAAGCAATCAGACAGCTTACCCACAGCCGAAATTTTCTCCAAAGATGACAAAGTAACCATCTTTATTTCTTCCTGATTTCTGTACCAAATATCAAGTAGCCGCCTAAACAAGCAAGAATATAAATGAAACAGTATGTCCCAAAGATAGAACTCCAGCTAATATCATCAATTTAGTGACAATTCTGAACAAAACCCAAAATTCTATTTTCTTAAAAAACACTCAACCCCACTTCTATGCATTAAATTCCTACATTAATACAGAAGATTACATATTTTCAACAATTAATGAGATGTATAATTTAACTCACATTAAAACTAATCTTACAGCAAATGTACCATGTATGTACCAACAACATCACAAGCTGAAATTCCTTTCAAAGACTCAACCCATCAGAAACAAAATCGAAATTTCGAATTTTGTAAAAGACCCGGAAAAAAAAAAAGAAAAAAAAAAGGAGAGAATTCCATCACCCAAAGACTGAAATTCAAAGTTGATGATGAATTACTAAAATTCTACAGATCATAAAAATAGTAAACAATTTTTCTTTTTTTAATACTACAAGAGAATACAGATCAGAACCAACAAATAAGATAAGGACTTATTAATTAGCTACTTTGCAGGTAAAAGGTAGGCGTAGCAACAAAACTTTAGTTATTTTTAATACATAATTAATAATTTAATTTAATATCATATCATATAAGATGTAGATACCAACTAGCTTAGTTCTTTAAAAGACTCGAGGTGGAACCCGAGATCAAATCCTGTGTACATCCTTGCCCTTATCTCACCCTAACACCGAAAAATCATATCTTAAAAGATTATATCACTACCTAATTTGAAAGCGGACCAAATTCTAATTGGGTCATAATCATAAAAAGAAACCCCATTTCCGCGTTTTCTGCATATTTTAATTTAAACCCTCTGCTTCAATTTTCATCTTCCCAAAATTACATAATCCGCAACCAAACACCAAGACGTCAAGAAAGATTATGAAATTAAAAAACTAATTTAATTAAAAAGCGTCTAATTTAATTAATTTTAAAAAAATTAAAGCAAACCAATCAATTAGTCATTATAATATAATAGGAAGGAATATAACTAGGTGAACAGGCTATGAAATTAAAATATTCCAAAATTTCAGACCAACAAATGAAATTCGAGAATTGGGTTTTTTTAATTTAATTTTTTTACAAAAAAACAATTATAAAAATCCGACACTAAAAATAAAATTCGGACGTATAGATCGGAACTTGATTTTCTCATTTTTCTGATTTTCTTACTTAACACCCACCAAAAAAAATGGAAAAAAATACAAAATTTAATTAAATTAAATTAAAAAAAAACGTACCGTACAAGTTTAAACTACCACCACCACCATGAATTTCTCTCTCTTCAATTTTCTTCACAAGAAAAAAAAAATTAAATTAAGAGAGAAAAATTAGAGATCTCCTGCATTGCAAAATTCGCAAAAAAAAAAAAAAGCGAAAAGTAAATCAATTAAATTTGTGAAAATTACCCTAGATGAAAATTCCGGTAGGATCCGTGAAATTGAAGAGAAACCCAGATTTTCCCAGAAAAAGTTATGAAGATCAGAATCAAAGAATCTACAGTAGGTGAACAAATTGTACTTGATGAAGAAGAAGATGAAGAAGAAAGAGGAGAGAGAAAGAAGAGAGAGAAAGTAAAAGAGAAGAAGGAAGGAGACAAAACAGAAAGGCAGTTCAGGCTAAGTAAGAGAGAGAAAGTAGAGAGAGAAAGTGAAGAGAGAGAAAGAAGAGAAGAGAGGTGGCCTGGTTTATCTTTGGTTTGTTGTTGAAAGGGGATGAGATTTGACACATGAAAGACTTATGAGTACTCGGACAAAAAATAATACGAGAACAACACCATATATTATATTTTATATTATATGATAAAATTATATTATTATATTATATGATATGATAGGATAAAATAATAAAAATAATTGTTGATGAAATGGCAGTGTGTAGAGTAGTACAAGAGTTAAGTTGTAGTGGTAGTTTTTAGAGATGAGGAAATTTGGAAATTGAGTATTGGTGCTTTTTTCTCTCTCTTGAGTTGTGTGTCATAAGGTAAGAGAAACAATATTGCATGAACTAATCAATTTGCATTGCATTGCATTCATTTCCTTTCCTTTCCCCCATTTTTATGGTCTTATTTTTTTGAAAACTTTATTTATTTATTATGAACTTTTAATGGTGTTGAAATTGGAACTTGCAAGAGTTGTCAAAGTTATCCCTTATTAATGGAGTTAGTTACTACTATCATGTAATAAAGAGCATTGTTTGTTTTTCTTAACTTTTTTCTTTGTACTTATGCACCACTACATTATGTATGATGACGGGTAAGATGAAGTATGTGCGGTTAGACTGCGTGTAAACTGTATATATAAGTTGAGGTGTTTATGTCTTGTCAGATTTGTGTACGTTACATATTAAGTGGAACTTCATCGTCTTTATGTTATTTTGTACTCCTTATCTATTGTAACAATATTGATTGTTGATAAATAAGCTAAGGATATTTTTGTTCTTGAAATATTTAGGATTAAATGGAAGCCCGTTTAATTATTTGATTTATTGTATTTAATAATTTCAGATAAAATTACAAAAGTTTAATATTTTTTTTATAATGAATTTATTAAATATAAATAAATTGTAAAAATGATATTTTTTCCGTTATATAAAATCTTTAATGTGAAATGATAAATTTTTAATAATTTAAATCCTAAATCATTATTCATTGTTTTACCATATCTTTTATTTCGATAGAATCGCCAACCTAGTCCACAACCAACCTACTACATTAATGGATAAATTGAACCGTGAAATGTTAGCCAAACTGAGATTGATATAAATTAAATATTTACATTTATATAAAATAAATCAATATATTTACCAATAAAATAAAAAATTGTTGCGATATAAAATCAAATCTATGCATTGGAATTTTTTCATCATCTCCAAAAATAACCAAAGTCATCCATATATTAAGTATACAACATCTAATCGTATGTCATTACATAAACAAATAATCTTCAAGTATCTTACATAAATACAATGTAACTAATAATTACAAATATAAATTTAAACATAAGATTTTAAAAATTACCCAGATATAGATGACCTAAAACTAACACAAAATTCGCTTGATGGGGTTTTGTATTGATACGAAATTTTATTCGTGTCGTATGATGTGTTAGATCTGCATGTAAAAAAACATTTAGTAAATAAAACATAAACATATAATCGTTGAGTATCCCAAATTAATACAATGTAAGTAATAATTAGAAATACTAATTTAAACATAGGATTTTAAAAATTAAGCTAAAAATTACCCGGCCATTAATGACCAAAAATTAACACAAAATTAATTACACAAAATTCGCTTTATGGTTTTTTTTTTATACGAAATTTTATTTGTGTCGTATGATGTGTCAATTTATAATGGTAGGAATCACAAATTTTAATTTAATTATAATTAACGAACAATTTGTATTTATTATCATAAATACTATCAAAATTTATCTTATAATGATTGGTATCTAACTTTATTACAAGCCTTTATCATTTAAATATTTTTTAGTATATTTTTTTTTGGATTTCTTATACTCGTAGTATTGAATTAATAAATTTATCTTTTCCTATATTTTTACTTTATTTTTTTTCATTAAAATAATTTAATTCATGGATTATAATATACGTGGCACTAAAATTTTAGATATATCAAATCTAATTCGTTACTGATTAGGGGATTTTTCCCCACTAATCACCATCTGACAAGTGGACCAATCAGGTTCCGCCATGTGTCCGTCACATGGGCCAATAGGAGCCTGTCACGTGTCAAGCAATGATCCGTCCACTATGGACCAATTACGACACGACACGTGTCCTTCCCATGACACCTGGGATAACCGGTCACCTAGGCCCAACTTCCGAGGGAAGCCCAATCAGCCCAATGTTAACCTAAACCTAGATTGGCACGTTTCCCGAGGTTATAAATACCTCCCTTAATCCTCATTAAGGGAGATTACGCTAAAAACGCAGATTACACACATTAAACACTCTCACCTAGAGAGACCCAATCACTTTAATTTCCGCATTAATTACTCCTTAATCAAATACTAACTTGACCGTCGGAGGCGGATCTCCAATCATCCGGAGCATCCGTTTGTTTTGCAGGTACAAGCGTCCGGTTCCAGTCTCGGAATTGTAACTCTCCCGCAGGACATCAGAAAACCCCAAAACATCTTGGCGCTGTCTGTGGGGAGAGTACTTCTGAGATGGCATCCACGTTTGTACCGGCTCCTGAAGAGAGACGTCCCCTGGATGACCCTCTAGTTCAGTCGGACCACGATACTGAGAATGAATTTGAAGTTGAAGCTCACACAGCTTCAGACGGGACCCTAAGGGCCCGACGTACCCGTCATACCGAAAGGAGGGAACGGGAACATCTTCAAACTGGAAGCGAGCCAGCAGGCGCACCGCCTGTTCGGCAGCAGCCGACTGATGGGTCTGCTCCCATCACAAGGAACGAACTCATGGCCTTCATGAGGGACTTCAAGGGAGAAATTCAAGAGTTGATCAACAAGAAGCCGCCTGCTCTGGACAAGGAGCAGTCGGCTAAGAAACCCTCCACTTCACGGAAGAGGAAACCAGTTCAAGGGCGAGAGGCGACCCCTCATCCTAAATCCAGGAAGTGGGAGCCACCTGCCCTTGATTTCACAAAATACCGTTTTCCTACTCCAGGAAATAGGAAACCTGTTCGTTATATTCAGGCGAACGGGTCGAGGAAAACATACACAGACGCTCGGCTACTGCTAGAGCAGAAGAAGAGTGACCGATTGTCAGAGTCGGCCTCTACTTCAAACTTCCAAGACAGTCTGTGAAATACCTCGATGAGGCATACTCAGTCGTATCATGAGAGTCAGTCAGGCGGCACCTCCCGTCAGTCCGGCTTTCATAGCGACCAGGCGGTACCAAACTTACCGTTTGTACCGCAACAACAGTATTTTTTACAGCCACCTCCGTTTGGTGGACATGCAGCAAAAAATGTCCAACCTATGGACTGGCAGCTACGGTTGCTTAGACTTGGTGAACAGCCGTCGGCCTTCTCCAAGGAAATTACTGAAGCCGCTCAGCCGGCCAAAGTGAAAAATGTATTAGTAGGAGCCTATGACGGCACTACTAACCCAGAAGACCATCTGATGGCATTCACCAACCTGATGTACCTTCAAGGGTTGGATGATCCCACTTGGTGCAAGTGTTTCCCAACGACTCTCAAAGGAATCGCACAACAATGGTTCGGCAACCTGCCGACTGGTTGTGTAAATAACTTCAAGACGCTTGCTTACTTATTCACCTCCAACTTCGCCATGAACATCCCTGCGAAGAAGACGACCCTTGATTTAGGAACAATTCAGCAGGGCGAGAAGGAGGGGCTTCGTTCTTACATCAGGCGGTTTAACCTGATGAGAATACAGATTCAAGGGTTACCGGATGAAGTAGCCTATACTGACTTTTTCAGAGGTCTCAAAGACGGGTCGACCTTCAAATTTGAATTGGTCTGAAAGAGGGTGGCGACTCTTCAAGAAGCATTGATTGAAGCGGAAGCCTATATACAGGCGAATGATCTTTGTAGTACAGTAAAACAGTCAGACGGGAAAAGGTCCGACAAAAGAGAAGGACAACAGAAGCAGTCGTCAAACAAAGACGAGAAGAGAAAAGAGGTCTGGGCAACTGATTCCTCTAAACAGCCGTCCCAGAAGAAGAAAAAAGAATTCAAACCATACTCCCCAAAGTATGTGTTTAACAAGGATAGCCAATTTATCCTAAAGGAAATCAAGGGACGGATCTCAATTGAGAAGCCGGTCCCCATGAAGGGTTCTGCAAACAATCGGAACCAAGAAAAATTATGTGATTATCATGAAGATGTTGGTCATCACACCAATGAATGCATCAGTCTCATGCGGTATCTGGATTGGGAGAAATGTCGAGGCATATATTGATGATATGATTGTCAAGTCTAAACTTCAGAAAGATCATCTGTCGGACCTCCGAGAAACTTTCGCCACACTCAGGCGGCACCATGTCATGCTCAATCCCAAGAAATGTGTCTTTGGAGTTGAGTCTGGGAAATTTCTCGGATTCCTTATCAATCAGAGAGGAATAGAGGCGAACCCTGAGAAGGTGCAGGCGGCCATTGACATGCAGTTGCCTCGTACCATCCGAGAGGTTCAGAAGTTAGCAGGTTGTCTGGCGGCCTTGGGAAGATTTCTAAGCCGATCAGGCGACAAATGCCTATACTTTTTCCAGGCAATTAAGAAAAAGGCAAGGTTGGAATGGGGGCCGGATGCTGAGGCGGCCTTCCAGAAATTGAAAGTTCACTTGCATTCCTTGCCGAGGCTGGTCAGCCCTTTGCCCAAAGAAGTACTCTACATGTACCTGGCCGTCTCTGATCATGCGTTAAGCGCTGTTCTCCTTGCTAAAAGAGACGGTTTTCAGCTCCCTGTCTACTTTGTCAGTCATGTACTGAAAAATGCCGAGTTGAGGTATCCCTTAGTGGAGAAATTTGGTCTTGCACTCTTCATGGCTGTTAAAAAATTGAAGCCCTACTTTTTGGCACATGCAGTCGTCGTGTATACAGACCAACCTATCAAGCGGCCACTGACCATCATGGAGTCGTCAGGCCGAATGATCAAATGGGCCATAGAAATACAGAGCCTCGAAGTTACTTTCGAGCCTAGAAAAGCAGTGAAGGGCAAGCCTTTGCTGACTTTATTGTTGAGATGACTCGTCCTCCGGACTCTCAAGTTACAGACCAAGTCTGGAAGGTATATGTGGATGGAAGCTCTAC